CCTAGCCTGTCGTCCAACATGCCTCTGCAGGAGTGTGAACTGCCAACCTTTCAGCTTGTGGTCAAGCCCATCATTCCTCAGGCCCTCCGTGGACTCACCACAGGGCATTGCCACCAAGGCCATCCTGCCTTGCCCCGGTGGCCCCGATGGACAGGGGAGAACTGGCCCTGAGGGTCTCCAGAGCTGTCACCCTAATGGGAGCCAGCGGCCATGTTTTCTCCCGCAGAGCCACTGATGGGTTTGAACCACCGAACTCCCAGTTGACAGCTGAGTGAGCACTTTCAGTGCTCGCCACAAGGGCATCTTTTCCCAGGCACGAGGAACACGTGGCAGGCCAGGAGTGACCGAGACCTGCTGCCACTTGCCCGTCAGCTGTTGACTGTGGCGGCCCGCATGGCGCTACGGTGGGGCTTCCAGACAGACAGACAGGGACAGAGGACATGGCAGCCTACTTCTGTAAAAACTGGCCCCTGAAAACCAACGTGCCACTGGCTCCTCTGAGGGGTCTCTGGGTATCTGCCAGGGCACCTGGCCCAGCACCAGGCTGAGGACAGGTGCTCGATGTATATTGAATGGATGCCTGGCTGGGCATATACAACCCTCACGGGCAAGTGCAAAATGGATAGGTGGATATGTGCCAGCAGTATGTGCACACACACGTATACATCAAGCCAACCCCCCTGCCATCAAGTTGATTCCAACTCAGAACAGCCTCTCTGGGGTTTCTGGGCGGTAGGTCCTTACAGAAACAGATAGCCTCGTCTTTCTCCCTAAGAGTGGCTGCTGGGTGTGAAACCATCCGCCTCGTGCCAACGCTTACCCCACAGTGCCACCATAGACACATACGCGGTGTCACCAAGTACACTGTAGACCCTCGAGAAGCACGGGGGTGCCACTGAGTGCACAGTGACTCACGTGCGTCACAGTGTTGGCGAGGAGGGGTTGTTCTGAAGCACATCACCAGGGCTTGCTTCAGCGGTGCTTTTGGGGTGGACAACAGTCTCCAGCCTTCTGGAGAACAGCCAAGAGGGCTAACCATCTGGAGCACCCAGCGACTTCATAGTAACTCGATCACCATCAAAATCTAACCCTTCCCTTGGAGTTAAAAAACAAAGCCCTGGTGTACTGATGAGCGAGCACAGAACTGCCGACTGAAGAGGGAGGGCTTCTAACCCAGGCCTCGGGAGAAGATTCGTGGCCTCGTCAGGAGCTCGGAGCCAGGATCAACTCGCTGATACTGGGCATGGGACGTAGGGCCTCAGTAACGGAGATGAGACAGAAATGGCAGCGAACCTGTCTGCGGCGCACAAGACAAAGCATGAGTATGCTTAAAAACAAACAACTTCCACAAGCCCCATCAAACTGAAAGCAATCAACTGATACAAACGAAACAAACCACGAAACGCATGTGAACGGGCCCTTCATAAGGAGAGACCGCGTGACGTCCCGGCAACGAGAAGACCCTCCGTCTCACGAGCCCTCAGAGACATGTGCACCCAAACAAGCAGCACCCGCGGGAGCGTCAGATCGAACGTCCGGCAAAACGGCGGCCCCGAAGAGTGGATTCCCGTGACTCACCCACCCAGTGCCGCCAAGCCGGGTTTCCCAAACTGTCAGCAGCTGTGGGGGCAGCCAGCGCTTCTCCCACAGTGCCACCAGGGCTCCTGAGAGGGGCTTCCCAGACGGTGGGCATGGAGGGCCTGTCCATGGGGGGGCGGGGATTCCTTTAGTGCTACTGGAACGTTCAGTGTGCCTTCCTCAGGATCCAGC